TTCTTTATCGGACACCTAAGTCGAACGTTACCTCGCGAGAAAGGGTGTATCTACGACGAAGACACGCCGCAAAGTTTCCGAAGAAATGGTGATGTGTGTACAGAAAGCTGCATTATCGGATAGTTCTCTGTTCAAAAATCCACCCTTATACTCTTTATCTAACTGCGAGGTAGTTAGGCCACAAATCTTTATTTTGTTGACATCATTCGAAAGCTAAATTAATGTTCTACATGGAGGCTCCATTATATTTTTAGTAAACTTTTGGGGACCAGTGCAGTGGAGTGGTAAAGATAACCGAAGCTGTTTTTGGCCCACCCTGTATTTGCAGCTGTCTGTACACACATCACCATTTCATTCCATTCCCGTTGATAACGATAAAGAAACGATGAAAAAATCCTCAAGCAGCAGTAAAAGCCTACAAGTCCTATTTCCACGAGTGAGGGTGACTCACTCGACTCGCCGAGTCTAGTCGGTCTGTCTCGGTGTCAAGTATGGAACTAGCACCGGAAATACTGAAAAAGTACCTGCGCTGAAAACACCAACCGATTGCAAAAATAAGAGCGTGCAAGACTTCGCCTAATCGCCATAAGCGAAAGAATGGACGTAACCTGGAGCACATCCCATGTTGTACTGGTATGCATAGGCGGCGATTCATAGGGGCTCGGGGCTCGAGCCCCCCCAAAAATTTGGCAGAAGAATAAGGAATACTTGGAGTACTGCCTCTGAGCCCCCTAAAATTTCTCAACAAATCGCCGCCTATGCTGGTATGTGCATGTTTCAAGCGTTACCTCTGTTACATTGTGCGCAACTGCATCGGAAAGACAAATTGGATATGAAATGTTTTGACATCAGGGGAAAGCTAGATAATGTTTTAGATATTAACGCTGTTAGAATATTTTTAAACTCTCGAGAAACTACGACGTGAAGCACTAAAGATAACCAATATTTTTTTGGCCCATCCTGTATTATTGCACCTTCCCAGCTTCCATACGTAATGGAAGATGGGAAGATGCAATACTAGTTGCAGCTGCCTTAATTCTCCAGCCTGTCTCTAAGGGCTGGCACTATATGCAACTCATGCATTCAACAACCCCTTCTCGGTGAAGTTTTTTTCAAGAAATCTTTTTTCGGGGGATGTCCAGATCCCCGTGGCACTTGCTCCGCCCGTCTTATCTTTCCGCTTTCGCGATTCTCAACCAACGTAATCCCTACGAGCCCACACGGAAAGAATTTCGCGTCTGTCGCTCTCGCATCTCATCGACGAGATGCGATGTTCACGATGAGAACGAGATTTCTCATAGAAAAGAAGCGGGCTTCACCTACCCTTCATGTCCCCACACCGTTTATGCGGAACAAAGTCGTCGCTTCGTTCGAGTCGAGACAGTAATCATCTTTAAAATGTGCGGTAGGGAAATGGGACCAATCAGGGTCGCTTAGTGGGAAGCAGAAACAGACAAGAGACTCTGTTCCTCCACCAAAATGTCAAAGAAAAAGAAAAAAGAGGGGAGGGGGCGAGAGTGTATGGAGCCCGAGGGCTTCCTGGTTCGCATCGCTGTGGCATCCATTCCTAGTCGAGTGCGAGGGCGAGAGAGCCAGCCATGCGCGTTGGATCGGAGGACGCTCTGTCAACATGGCGATATCCTTTCCTCCCGATCCATGACCCATGTGGGTCCCCATTGTGGAGGCGTTAGTGGTGGTTATCAAGTGGACATCAAGCCTTCTCTTGGAAGCCATCTTACTCTGTCTCCTCTCTTCGCTCCTCCTCTTCTATCTACACCTTTTCGTCCAACGCGTCAGTCCATTTCTATCCTTTTCCCCCTCCTCGCCTTCTGCCTCTCCATCACTCTACGTTTGGCGATGGGTCGACTGGAATGTAACTTAGATCGGCATGCGCTCATTCCTGACCATAAAGGAAGGGGGATGATCTTTGTCGACGCCCGGGATCTTCGTTGATGATCTTATATGCGACTTTTTCAGAGGGCAGCCCAATGCCAGGGACAATGTTCCTTCGGAGAAGAGGATTATGCCGTGATCGAGGGGGAGGAAGAAGAAGGGGGAAGAAGAGAAAGAGGAAGTTCTTGTCGTTCTTCGGCCATGGATCTCGTTGCTCCCTCTTCTCCTCATCGGAAACTTTGGTGCGAACTGCCAGAAGTCCGGGATTCTGGGATCTTGGATGGGATGAGCCATGGAGAGAGGAAGCTCCAAGAGGCCATCTTTGAGGTCATCACTTCTGAGGCGAGCTACCTCAAGTCGCTGAACGTTCTAGTCCGACACTTCGTCCAGTGTCCCCAATTCTCGGATGACTCTCGTCCAGATTGCGTCCTTTCCCGACGGGATCGGCACATTCTCTTCTCAAACATCGTTCCAGGTCTGTCTTGGTCATTCCTGCACTCCTTGCATCTGCTTACTATTAGTAATGGGCAGCAAAGTTTAAACCTCCTCCCTCCTACTCTTCATTTCAACTCAAAGTTTATGAATGTAGGATGACAATTTAAATCAAAATTGTGAAGTTCCAGGATGTATAGGTCAAATGGGATTCATTCTAAGTCAAGATTTGTTCCAGTGGAATGTGCTCAGGAGAGCAGGGTCAACAGACCCTGAGTTCAGTAGACCCTGAGTACCCTTCACTTGTGTGACATCCAGTAAGGGAGTCTGAATTTAGTAAAAATAGGAAATTGAAAGTAATATGGGTCATTCCATCTTGTGTATGGAATTGAAAAAAGTCATGGAAGCATCTCATGGGGTTGCCTTGGAATTGGCATGTGATATGTCCCATTGAATAAGAAGATCATACCAAATGCTTTCTTGCATTCACATTCATAATCTTGAGTAGTCACAAAGTTACAGCCTAATTGTGCTATTACATGGATACCTCAGCATGAGTTTTTCTATCCCAAATATTCAAGCTTACATGGGCCTTCAGGAGTTTCTACCCTCCCCCTCCATCCCGCAAGAAAATATGAGATATTGAGATTCAGAGATTATTCTTGCATATATCCAGTTTAAAATCCTGGCTGGAAACAGCTATAATTTCCAGCTGGACTCCAGCTGTAAATTCGGACCCATTCCAACTGGGTAAAAGCTGGAAAGTCATCTCCAAATTTGTTCCTAATTGCTGTATCACTAGCTGAATGAGAATCTTTTTGTTGATTATTTTTGTCAGAGGTCCATCTACAGGAACAGCTAATTTTCAACTGTAAATATAGCTACATTCCAGCTGTATGGTCCTCTTTATATCCAACTGGGAAATTTCCAGCTGGAAACAGCTATTAAAACCAGATGCATTCCAGTTGGAAAATTCCAGCTAAGAAACCACTGGTACCTACTATTTTCCATCTCTTTGGCAGCTGGAATATTTCGGTTGGGATTTTAAACTGGGTAATTATCCACAATCGATGTCACAGCATTGACTTTAAGGTGTCTTCATTGTCATGGAGGATGAGTCATCACATGAAACTATGGAAGTTTTTAATTGAATTGGTGGTCTCAAATGAGTGTACGAATTTCACAATGCTTATGGCACCCATTTTAGTGCTGTCTAACCTGGTAGTGCACCAGAAATCTGAAAATTATTATTATTAATTTGACCTTTTCATGTATTGCATGGTAATTATTTATGTGATCAAATGAGCACACCCATGTCTAAACAATGTCCATGATCTTGAAGAACACAATTTTATTTAAATAAAGAAGTGATTTTGTGTAAGAACAAACAATATTGAGACAAACCTGAATTTCATGGAGGTATTATTCTTAGGCCTAGATTTATCTAGTTGAAAAAGTAGCCTCAGGTCTATAAGCTTGAGTTTTTCACCCAAGAAAAGTGGTTTAATCAAAGTCTCAGAGACAAACCAGTCTATCATCTTGCAAACTGCTGCATTATTGCTGTCACTTGGGAGTACCTAGGAATACCACACCTATATGTTTCATGCCTACATCTAAGCATGAAACACAAATACCCCTGTTTTATTTTGAAATCAAATCATCTGTTAAACTTATCTTTAACCACAGTTAAATTGATTGGCTTTGGCCTGCTAGATCATAGTAGTCATTGCTCCACAGCTTGAGGATTGGCTCTTCTAGAAGGTGACCTCAAAGACAGAATCATGGAGGGATAGAGTAGAAATTGATTTCATGGCTTCAATGGATAATCTTCATTCTTGAAATTTGAAGTGTAATAAGCAGGGAGTTTCATGTAATTTATGTTCTTTGTCATGTCAATGTATTTATGCTGACATGCTGAGTCTACAAATGAGTATTTAATGGTGAAGTTGAAGAAAGTAAGAAGTAAAAACTTTGTGACTCCATATATCCTAGGAACTATGAGTGGCTCATCTTCTGATACTGATACTGGCAGCATCTCAGAGCATGGGTCATGGCTGACTTGCCACTAGGCTCATTCAAAACAGGGCCTAAGCTACTTGAATTCTGCTGACACTGTGACACCCTCTCCAAGATAGAAGCTAAATTCAGTTGCACATGGTTTCTATGCTTCAGATTACACATTGATTCTAATTGTGCTCTTAACTGGAGTTTAAATGTTTATGTCCATTGGTAACATTGTTCCATGCATTGCCACAAGGCACACCATTTAAATATGGCAAAGCAACCAGGGATTGGTTACCACCAAAGCTAACAAAATAGGACAGTGACCATTTTTGCTTAAGCACAAGTTATTCAAATCACAAACTATCACATATTTCTACACGTGCAAACACAGAACACAATAGAGGTGAAGCAAGTCACATGTAGTGATGCCAATGAACCTCACTGCTAACAAAGGCAGTAGACCTTAACATGGACCCTATGGAGACATGCCATCCATGCCAAGTGGTCCCCAAATTTTTGCCTGAAATTTTCCTAAATATGCAAATATTACTTTTGCTACAGAATTTCATCTCTTTTCCCAGAAGACATGAATGAAAGGAATATTACATTGAAAAATGAAAGATTTAGTCATGATTATAATATATTATTCAAACCATTCTCATGATACTCAAAAATGGGATGAAAATGCAAATTTGGAGAGACTGAATCAGACTTCTGGAACAGATGTCAGCATGGGCTTTCCATGCATACTGATAATTTCAAATCAGCTCAGGTGTGAAGAGTAGATGTCAATTGTTCACATTTGAATAATATCTTTAAAATAAAATTACAAGATATGTGTAGACTTCCTGTTTCAAAATACTTTTCAGAACTTGTCACATCCAAAACTGTCACAAAATAGGCTTACTTTCTGTTTCAAATTTTGCAATGTTGGGGTGACTTACACTAATTCCAGGCTTTCATTCAATCTCTAGAATAAACATGAAACTAAATTATTAGGGTCTACTAGATAACAGATATGTGAACATTAGAGCAAGTCACTTTAACTTAAGGGTCCACCAAGTCACATCTGACACTAATGCCCATAGGTACACCTCTAACAAAAGAGAGAGTGCAAGACTTTGGATTATGGAATATTCAGCAAGCAAATTGTTGCAGCCTTTATATGCTGATTTTTCATCCATATTATAATTAAATTCATTTTGTATACTGAACATATAATCTGGATGTCATGTCCGACACCATGGACAGACCCATATGCATTTCCTTTATCATCTAACAAGAGTACATTTCACATTTCCAGAGTGAAGGCAATGGCAATTTTGATGGGTCCCTCCAAGTTGATGAGAATGGTCATTATGATGGCATGGACTTGAAGATTTGTTTTTGAGGTTTGGTTAAAAGCGATGTGAATAAAATTGGAAGACTTTGGTAACAGTACTGCTACCAATATAGAAAAATCATATATGATTTTATAAGAAATGGGCATATGGTATGGTCTGTCATATATGATATTATATGAACATACAGGGTGGCCCAGAAGTAAGAGGGCAGTTAGTGCTACAATCAGCAGTCACTGCAATTTTTATTATTATTTTATAATTGTATAATTTTATTATTATTATTTATTTATTTAAATAAAAAATTAGCGTTTTAGAGAGCAGTTTGACCGGTCGATAAAACGAGAAAGTTTTGCAAAAAAAAATTGTAGTGACTGCTCATTGTACCACTAACTGCCCTGTTACTTTTGGGCCACCCTGTATATGGGAAAATATATCTGATCATATTGAAACAATGAGTATATGATCATATATGGCAAGGCCATATAAGAATTTTATAAGAAGCATGTATGTATAAGATATGGTGGAGCAGATAAGAAACTTTTATTATTTAATATATTTATCTATATATCTAGTATATGGTGTGGCATATATGTCACACCTGATAAGATACATTACCAAATCAGGTATGAAACATACATGAAAACATGACACTCTTGCAAGTCTCTCCAAAATGTCAAAAAATGACTTCTGGAACTAAATTGAGAATTGGCACTTCATTTGTTACTTCTGTGAAAATACAAAAACCATTCACTAATTTACTGAAAATGAAACATGTTGGAATAAGTGAACAAAGATGTCCATATCAGTTTCAAGTTGTACCATCAATCAGGATCTGTCAATTAGTACTTCCAATGAGGGAAGAAGAAAATGAAAGTGAAATCACAACAGTTTCTTCACATCCCTGCCACTCAGAATTGGTTTAATGTGTACTTCATAATGGGAATCATGAGAATGGCCTGATTGTGTTTAAAGCCTAAAGAGTGTGCCCTACTTGTTTTCAAGTCCTACAGTTCCATAAGCGTACAGTGTATTAACATATTCAGCCTTTCAAAACATGGTATAAGTAATTAAGTAGTGTATGGCTTACTTCATAAGGAATTGCATGGAAGCCATTNTTTTTCAAACGGCCATGACTCATCTCCAAATGAATGTAGGAACCTAAAACCATACATTTTCAGCAAGAGGATGAAATGAACTTTCTTTTAGTTTTTTTTCCAACTCTGTAGCCCAAACCGTTCAGGAGATATTCAAATTTTTATACAGGGGCAAAAACTTTTGGCCCACCCTGTATATGCTGGCATGTATGGTTGGAGCATATGATTCATGTAAGGATAATTCATATATTTGGCATACCAGGGCAGTATATATGTTCTGTATATATAAGAATTATACAATTTGAGGGATGGGCTCCTGCATATATGGTACACCTAGTTTAAGTATATGGTTTTTATGAAAATCTTTCACATATTGTGAATACACTCTCAGCATGCATGCTTTCATTTAAAAAATATGTGTTGCTGGATATGTATATTGTATCATATGCATATGGGATATATAATTTAGATGGCATGGCCATATGGTATGAAAAACAATTACTTTGTGGCATTTACATATAAAATTTACAAGTACTGCATGCTTCAGACTGGAAAGGTTTTGGTGCTTTACCACTTTGATTCTGCTTGACATGGACATGATAATCTCCCAACAGTCCGTGATGCATCTGAACGACTGCTGGGTGATCTTGAGGAACGATGGGGGATGGATGTATACATCAAAGACATCTGTGACATCATTTACAAACATGCATCACACCACTTCTCTGTCTATGTCAAGTATTGCTCTAATCAGATCTATCAGGATCGGCTTCTCAATGAACTCAAGTGAGGCACTGGGAATGGTTTCCCCAAAGTGGGTATTGTGACTTCATCATAACAAAAGTCTGCCTTTTTGTTTATCAGGGGGAATTGTGGCTCATTTTTGGAAGTGTTAAGAGAGTTGGAATCAGATGGAGTTTGTCAGAGCTTGAGCATGCATTCCTTCCTCATGCTTCCTATGCAGCGAATCACTCGACTTCCTCTTCTTGTTGATGCCATCTTCCATCGACTTCACCCTGACTCACCTGAATTCCACAATGCCAAAATGGCCCTCACTGCTCTCAACAAGGTCAGTTTTCTCCACACCTATGTGTGGGTGCATATCTTTCTATCTACCTGTGCTTGGCATAAAATGTTGTCTTTGAGCTAATGCAGTGCATTTGTCTCTTAAATTACAAAATCTAAATCCCCACATGGTTGGGTCTGGGTTTTCTTAAAAGTAAAGTCATATCCAGAGTGTACATCATCAGAAGGGGAAACTAGATTTTATTGCTATTGGATGATAGAATTTGTCAAGATCTTGCACTTTAATGGCTATATGAGTAATGGCTTCCTTGCTTTATGTCACATTAGAGAGCTTCAGTTGCATCTTATTATACCTCCTCAAACGTTTTTTATGTTGGTGGAATTTTAAGTTTTACCTTCAGTATGTTGTGAAACATTCTTCCCAGAGGTTGAATTCTGAAGGATGGCCATATTGAATACAAGAAGGGGCTGTTATGTGGAAGAATTCCCATGCTGAAGCCTGGGTCCAGGCTAGGGACTCTATTTTTACCCCCCCCCCCCATATTTTAGATGACTCTAATAATATTCACACATTGTTCTAGACACATTCATTTGCTTAAGATATATTTCTGCTTCATCTTTCACTATAAACAATTGCCTCTGGCAATGTGTGATAACAGAGCAAGTTGTGATAAGTCAGTTCATTATGAAGGACTGAACATTTACAGGTTATTCCAAAAGAGTTGTGGCTTTTTATTTACCAATAAAACCTAAACTCAAGATCCCAGAAGTCTCATTAGGTGTTAATTATTTTGCACAGTAATTTTAGTTCATCTTTAGGTTTTCTGCTGGTCATTAAAGGTTAAACATAACTACCTTGCTATTCTATAGTTTTCCCCCACTGATGGGAATTTTCCCATTACATGACACTTGTCAACATCTACCATGAGATAGGTATTTAACATCCCGCAGTTCATCTTGAGTATTGGCAAGTTACTTGACATGGGATATTTAAAGGACAGTATTTTCCATGACAAGCTTCAGCTGAGATGAGATGCATGCTCTCATAAAAACCTGTGGATGTTGACTTGTTTCAGTGCATGATAATGTCACTTTTGTTGAACACATGAAGAGCAAAGTGGTACCCTCGAGCTGTTGATGATTTGCAGAGGAAGTCATATCTAAAACTCCTTGAAAAATGCAAAGTGTTGTGCACCTTATGGTGATTCTGTGATGTTACACTTCTTTTTCACTAGTATAATGCCTTAATACCCTTATAATGGAATACTTTTTAGAATATATTCAATGAAATCTGGAATTATAGAGCACCAAGCATCACAGTTCCTCAATTTGTTATTTCAGTGAATTGTAAATTCATGGTGTGGTTGTGTCATTTATATGGTTGTCATATGACAATGCAGCTTCATAATCTAAAGAGTATGTTTATCACCATCTGCTTAGATTCCACTAGCACTGTGGGAACCAAGATAGCATCACATGAGGTCCAGAGCACCAGGTTAGGAATCTGCTCAAGTGACAGCCATATTAATTTCCAAATCATGTGCTCAGAAATGTAATCTAGGGGTCTCTGGAAAATTTTTAAATTCCTCCTTCACTGTTTCCTGATAGAATTTGTACTCCCCGCATAGGAGTGCTTCCATTGATTGCAGGCAGTGACATCTTCCATATGAGTGGTTTCATGGATCATTTGGCAAAGTGGATCTTCTGAAAGCAGTGCTTCCTTTGCTTTCCAAAATCTTGGAGGGTACAAATTCAATCCAAACAGTATACAATCTTGTCTACGTTGAAAAAAGGCTAAAACTACAGCTCCCTAAATGCAGTCCTTTACATGGCCTGGGACTGGTGGGGAAGGTATTTGCATTTGTGAACAGTAGCACTTTATGGGTGGCTGATTGCAGTGATTAGGGATTCAATATGAAGATGTCCAGTTTTATACACTAATGGCCTAAATTGTGGAAACACTTGAAAAAAGGCAATAAATTCAATAGGCCTATTTCATATATTTTGATTACACTGAAAATATGTCACTCATGAAGTACTACCAATTAATTGTCAGTGACTGCAATTGAATTGATTTTGTAATGAGATCCAAATAACAATAACAATATTTTTCTTATGCTATATGCTTTTCAATATGCTTATGATAATTTGCCTTTTCTCAAGTGTTTCCACAATTTTGGCCACAAGTGTATAGAGTGGTCTACAATGGTCCCTGTGACCTTCTGGCCATAAGCCACTTGTTTGCAGTCCATTCCAGTAGTATTGTTGCATATGATTGTTGAATCTGTTAAATGACACCAATTTGGATTGTTGATAGGTGGTGCGTGAGTGCAATGAGGGAGCTCGAAAGATGGAAAGAATGGAGGAGATGCTGCTATTGAGTCGGCAGTTGGATTTTGGTGGTTGCAAAGCAGTTCCTCTCATCTCTGCCTCTCGATGGCTTGTCAAGAAAGGAGAATTGACTCGCCTTCTCTGGAAGGAGACTGATACTTACCGACGAAGTCACCGTCGCCCTCACAAGCAGACTCTTCATTTATTCCTCTTCACTGACCTCCTTGTAGTTACAAAGAAGAAGAGTGGTGAGGAAGCATCTGGAACCTTCACAGTCCTAGATCACTGTCCCAGGAACATGGTGCAGGTCCAAGAAGTGGAGGAATGTGATCTTCCTGGGAAACTACCTGAGGCCATCCCAAGGAATCTCCTTCATCTCACCATTCTTGAGAATCGAGAAGGAAAAACTGTGGACATGGTGAGAGAGAGAGAGAGAGAGAGAGAGAGTGTGCATGTGTGTGTGTGTGTGTGTGTGTACATGCACATGCACACACATGTTCCAGTATTTGCATGTGTGTGTGAGTGCATGCATGCCTGGCCCTTGGCTAATTTTTTTTTTCTTCCCCTCAGATCCTGGCTTGCTTGGTAGAGTCAGACCGGACCAGGTGGATTCAAGCAATGACACCAAGGATCTCTGTGAATCCTAATGAGGTCATCTATGAGGAATGGGATTGTCCTCAAATGCAAGCTGTTCATCCTTATCAGGCTCAGCAGAGTGATGAACTGTCCCTTGACATCTCAGATGTTGTAAATGTCCTCAAGAAGACTCCTGATGGTATATTACAGCCCATCCTTCTCTTTTTCTCATCTTTATTCAGCTGCAAGACTATACTTATGCATGCTACCCACCTCTCTTTCTGTCTCTTAGTGCATGATTGTCTCTGGTTGCATTTTCACTAATTTTTTTCTTGTAGGCCTATTTACTTACCCCATGCTCTTTCTGTAGATTGGTAGCATATCAATAGCCCAAGTGAAACTAACCATATCCGAATGGATTGTCAATGTCCTCCAGGTGGATCTCCAGGCTCCCATTGACCGATTCATTGAATGATTCCTTTCTCCTCCCTTCACTCACATCCTCCTGACTTGATCATCATCCACTCAGTAGTAGCTGTGTGTCTCCAGCCAGGTGATTCCCTCATTCATTCCTTCCTTCGTTGTGCACCCAACGATATCACTGTACAGAGTGCCGTATGACATAGTGGAGTCTATTAACTGTCTCCAGGGGCTCTGATGGATTCAAAGGCCATTCAGTATGTATGGACTTTATCACTTTCGCTCTTGATCCCTGCCTATGCATTTTTGTCCTCACCTTCCAGCACCTTCTGTATCTTTGTCTTCCTGAAGAGTTGGAGCCATTGATTGGAGGATTTAGTTCACATGGATTTTTTATTATTTATCCACTCTGCTCTTTGGATTTCGTTGCTTTTGCTGGAAAGCTCTTGTTTCTCATGTTTGCATAATGGATCCCATACCAAGGTCTCTCACTTTCATTCCTGAATGGGACCATTCTTTCAGCTGGAGGATTGCTCTGAGAAGACTCTTGAATGAGCTTGTTTTCTCTCCACTCTTGTTTATCCACTTGATCCCTGAATGGGTCCTATCTCCCCATCCCCTGATTCATGAATGGATTCCCCCTCTGTTGGATGGAGGATTGTGCAAAAAAAAATCCCTCCAGCCCAGGCTTGTCTTCCCTCCATCCCTGTTTCATTGCTCTTTAATCCATGAGTGGTTTCTCCTTCTCAGCTGGATATTTATTTTACATCCGAAGGTCTTTCACGTGGGATTTTTCTTGCTCCATTTCTGTTTCTCTGCTCAGTAATCCATGAATGAGTTCTTCCACTTCACTGAAACTGTATTGAAGTCCACTCATGGAGTCCTACCTTCTTCCCCTCCTTCATCTACCCTAATACCATGTAACTAGAGGTGACACTCTGTGGGATAGGGGAGGGTCAAAGTATATCAGAGACATCTGGTTGCTTGTTATCAACAACACTTCCATGAGGCGTGCTTAGTGGCAGTGGAATCGGGAATTGACTCGTTTGAGGATTCAACCTAAAGGGATCCCACAATGCAACACGCGTGTCTCGTTAAGTTGGCTGCTTGGCTACGGAGGAATTTTTTATGTGTGCATGCTAGGTGGAGGATTGACAGCGACATCTATATTCCAACCCTGTCAATGAATGGGATTTGAGCTGAGTGTCACCTCTAGTTATACTTTTTACTCTATGCTAATACCTTTTCTTACTAGTGGCATATGGTTTGATCTTTTTTCCTATAAAGTTGACTTCTATTATGTCTTTGCAAACCCCTCATTTTGAAAGTGCACTTCTGAATGGTGCATGTATATGATGTATTTTGTCTGAATGCCTTTTCAATGTTCAATTTTGAGCAGGCACCTTAACATTTATATTACACCTTAGCAGTAATGACCATTCAGACTTGAAAACTGCATTACAAATATTGATTTCACTGGTATTGGAGATGTATCAGATCTGATATATAGGGATATTGTATACGTATATATATGTATGTGCGGATGAGAAAAGCCTGTGCATGAAATTCCATGCCAGACCAGCTGAATATTGAAGTATGCTACTTGAAGGGCAGTCAGAGTCATGACCAAGCACAGCAGTTATGCCCAGAAACTGCATGAGTCCTTTAACAAATATCATCAAACAATTGAAAAATGCCAGGCAGCTAAGGGCTTCCATGCAGAAAAAAAGCAACAAAGGTACCAAATACCAAAGCTTTAAGCTAGATTATTGACTCTCTTTGATAGGTTTTGTCAGGGTGTGCAGCCAATAGCAGCCTCTAAGTAATAAGCTTGGTTTCCTGTGACCTGGGTTTGAATGGAGCTGAGTCAGGTGTATACGAGGGATGGTCCAAAATTATTCGGATTTACTTGTACAGGCCATGCTGCGCAAACTGGAGAACAGGTGCTAAAACAAGCTCTGTTTTGGAACTACCGAATTACTACCGTGTAGATTTCCTCGCCATCTGTGAGACCTTTCACTTGTGATAACTACATGAACGACAATGGCGAGTTATTTATCTTACGCAGGGAAAAGAAGCGAATGTATCGCCATGACGAGTATACTCGGGTAACGCAGTTTGGCGGTCAATGACGCAGAGTTTCGAGAACATTTCAGCTTTGTGAAGGGAAAAGTTTTGTTCATCGTCGATTTGTTGGAACCCAACCTGACATTGGGGAATAACAACGCTACTGCACTTCAGCAAGAGCTCGTTGCTCTTCGCTTCTACGCAACGAATTCTTTTCTTATTGTCAAGGGATTTTTTTTTAGGGCCATTTATCATATTGGTTAATTCGTGCTATGCGCGCTGCCATCTTCAAAAACTCAGACCGTTTTGCTTTCTCACGTATGAGATGCGACGTTGCCGTCACCATCGGTAACAAATACAGCTCCATCTGACGAATTCAACAATAAAAAAATAATATTCCACTTTATGAAGCTGTATTTTCGAATAAAGCAGGATTATTTTAGAGTTCGGTTCAAAAATCCACCCTTAAAATTTGTCAGGCTGCCTGCACATCAGGGAGTTGATGCCAAAAATCTAACCAAACAAACGCTACCCAGATATGTTTCTGCTGTCGTTAGGTACTACAGCTGTAGATAGGTACAGTTAGGGTGTATCTAATGCCTCAGAAAGGCTGTTTCTAATGCCTCAGCAGCGATCCCGGCTTAAATCTGTCTGGATATGCCTTTGTTAATGTTGTTAAGTTATTTTTATAATTGAACAATACACAGTTGGCAATCACAATGTGAAGTATGATTTAGTTGGAACTGCAAGACCTGTCAAGTGATGCTGTGACGTTGAGAAAAAATTGCCTCTTGAATATACTATTTCCGAAGGTTATTGTCGTATCTTGTTGAGCCCGTGTAAGATAAAAAAAAAAAAACCCTACGATGAACTGATCCGGGACGATTCATAAGGGAAGAGCTAGGTCTATCGATATGGAGTACCGTCGACCTTGCACACCCTCGTTCTGCTGACCATGTTTGAAAGCCGTTGTTTTTACATCCTATATTAATACGTTTTCTCGATGGAGAGTGAGAGAGATGATGTCCATTGCAGGTTGGTACCAAGGGGAGCGGATCCGAGACGGAGAACGAGGTTGGTTTCCTGGCAATTTCTGTGAAGAGATAGCATCCGCACACGTTCGAGCTCGGAACCTTCGACAGAGGAATCGACTACTTATCCTATCAGACACTTTCATCCAGGATCGACAGCGCGTGAACGTGAAAACCGATAGAAGACCTCGTCCCAGAATCGACATTGGCAGCTCAAACGACCCTAAGTCTCTGACCACCTCATCGTGAAATGCGGGACAAAGAAAGGGTGGTCCATTCTTCACTTGTGATGCCAAGTTCCCAATACACTGCTGGATTTCCATACTGCCCCTGTTATTTCTACGTGATTCCCTATATCTTTGAATACTCTGAGCCTCATTTTCGGCCTTCCTCCAAGAAGAAGAAAAACGTGTGATAGCTACAGAGTTCACATTTGCGATATTCTTTCATTCCTCATCTTTTCGTCAGTGTTGCCTTTTCATAATTTTTTTGTAAGGAAATGATTATGTATGTCAAATAAATTATGCTTTCGTGAATTTCTTCAGGCATTATCACACCTTCAGCAAAAAAGAGCGCTGTGATGATAGTCCAAGGGGCGGCTGAGGGCAGACACATTTCTGATATCAAATCCACTGCGCAAGTATCCTTAGAAACTGGTCCAAAGGTGCTTCTGGACCTCCCTCGGGTGGTCCACATCGAAAACGACTAAGAAAAAAATTATTGGACAGTACTTGAACAATTTTCAAAGCCAATGCATCAATGGGCTCGGTAACGCCCATTACCTTTCTTCAACCCCTTCTGGCGGAAAAATTCAACCTTCTCGTATTCCTCTCTAAGAACATAAACAGGAACCAGGTTTGACATACTTCCTCTCTCAACACAGAATCGCTCCGCTAATTTGAAGCTACATCTCCCTGGGGTTGTGGAGATCACTGAGTCGCGCTTTTGGATGTGAGTTTCGTTCCGTTATAAATATATAGGCGCCAAAAACGCTTCCTGTTTGACGCTTTATAAAACCCGCTGTGGAAGATCTAGGTTCGTGAGGATTTCATATCACATTGGAAACGCCACAAAAATTGCTTCCTGAAAGTTTCATTTACCTAAGTTGGCGGAATATAAATTGACAGTCGTTTAAGGGGAGTCAAAATGTCCTTTTTCTTTTTCTGGTGGATGGAGTTTCAGCACTTCTTGAATGATTTCTCTCAGACGCCATAAAGACTGCTTTTTACGCGATGTTCTTGTAGTATTCGGCACGTCGTAGAATATTCCTATTTTTGTACATTGTGACGGTCTTGGCGTCCTGTCTCGTCAGACCACCCATCCGGAGTACTGAATCCGGCACGTTAGGGTACTGGCGAGATCCGCCCTCCAGTCCGCAGACCGGATGCCGACACCGGGGATAACCGTAGCCGTACAGGAGGCTCTAGAATCGGGGTGAACCCCAACAAAACTCAGAAGCGCATAAAGCCAAACTTTAATGCGAGCCACTGGGTGCAACAACACAACCTAGTTTCTTTACCAGACCAACCAGGGCAATCCGGCCCGTCGCAATGCAATGTCACAGACAAGAAAGCTTAGTACACATGAACCAAATACAGACTGCGATTGCAAGACGCGAACGCGGACAAAGGGGACAGGGACAATACCCGAGCCGGCAAGTTTACCGCCTAGGTGATTCGGCACGAGGGCGTAGAGGGTACGGGACCTCGTGGCCTCGGTTTGTGAGTGCGGTCCTGAACTCTCCACAGCTTTCCACAGCTCCCCGAAAAAAGATCCTGCTCAGGTAGTCATGCCCGCTCGGTTCTACCTTCCTAGGGGGTGTACACTATTCCCTCGCGCTTAACTTCTAACCAACTTCTTTCAGGATACCGGAGGAAACATTCCTGACTCCCGACATAAGGGTGGTACACGGGGACCCATCCTTCCCTCCACAGATCAGATATTAGACATAATAAGTCATAAGTTAAGAAAGTGGCACCCACGTTGTTTCCATGCTTCCTGAGGTATTTTATTCTCAGGACTCATCCAGACGGCTCGAGCAAGATAGGCCTAACGTTCTTCGTCCGAACCGAAATGGTTCATGAAACGCGGAACAGACCTCTTAATCAGTCAATAGCAACTATTGACTGGGCGTCCACTCTGAGGTCCTCAAATGATGTATCTGAACATCGATTGAAACTGAAAAAAGTGGGAAAATTGACAAAAAAACCGCGAAATTTAGAGCGAAACCAATTTCAACCTGAGAAAAAAGGAAAAACGTATGCAGGTAAATGGAATATGATCTGTTCAAAGAAGAGGGACAAGGAAAGGATGCCAACTGGCCAACTACAAAGCGTGATGTATCTAAGCACTGATTGAAACTGAAACATGTCTGGAAAATCACGAAAACGAAAAATTTAGAGCGAAACCAATATCAATTAGGGAAAATTAAAAAAGTGAAGGTCGTTCAATGGGATGTGGTCTGTTTAAAGAAGGGAGACAATTAAAGGATGCCAACTGGCCACCTACAACAAATGATGTATCTAATCATCGATTGAAACCGAGAAAAGTGAGAAAATTGACAAAAACGCGAAATATAGTGAAACCAATTTCTACAGGAGAAAAAAGGAAAAGTGAATGTAGGTAAATGGGATGTGGTCTATTCAAAGAAGTTGGCATCCTTTAATTGTCTCCCAATTAAAGGATGCCAACTGGACATCTACAAACATCTATGCATCGATTGAAACTGGAAAAAGTGAGAAAATTGACAAAAACGCTAAAATTTAGAGCGAAACAAATTTAACCCTAAAAAAGGAAAAGTGAATGTTGTTCAATGGGATGTGGTTAGTTCAAAGAAAGGGGACAAGTAAAGGATGCCAATTGGCATCCATGAGGTATCCATGCATTGATTGAAACAGAAGAGAGTTAGAAATTAATAAAAACGCGAAATATTGCTCTATATTTCGCGTTTTTATTAATTTTCTACCTCTCTTCAATACCAACCAATATCAACCAGAGAAAAAGGAAAGGTGAATGTAAGTAAATTTGATGTGGTCTGTTCAAAGAAGGGGTCAAGTAATAGATGCGAACTGGCCCCCTTCTTCCATGAGGTATGCATGCATTGATTGAAACCAGAAAGTTGTAGTATTGAGAAAAACGCGAAATTTAGAACGAAACAAATATAAACAAGAGAAAATAAAAAAAGTGAATGTCGTTCAATGGGATTTGGTCTGCCAAAAGAAGGGGGACAAGTAAAGCATGTCAACTGGCATCCATGAGGCATCCATGCATTGATTGAAACAGAAAAAAGTCGCAAAATTGAGAAAAACGCGAAATTTAAAGCGAAACCAATATCAACGTCAGAATAAAGGAAGATTATATAGGTAAATGGACATCCCATTTCATTTCCATTCAGAATATAATTGATGCCAACCCCCCCCCCCACCCCTCCATCCATGAGGAAACAAATTTAACCATAAAAAAGGAAAAGTGAATGTTGTTCAATGTTCTGAACAGATCACATCGGTCTGTTCAAAGAAGGGCGACAAGTAAAGGACGCCATCTGGCCACCTACAACAAATTTTGTATATAAGCATGGATTGATCTTGAAAAAAGTCGGGAATTTGAGAAGAAAGCGAAATTTAGTGCGAAACCAATTCCAACCAGAGAAAATCGAAAACGTGAATGTAGTTCTATGTGATAGGGTCTTTTCAAAGACAAGTAATGGATGCCAACTGGTCCCTTTCTTCCATGAGGTATCGATTCATTGATTGCAACTGAAAAAAATCAGGAAAATGACGAAAACGCGAAATTTAGTGCGAAACCAATTCCAACCTGAGAAAAAAGTAAGAGTATGTAGGTAAATGGCATGTGGTCCGTTCAGAATACAATTGATGCTAACTGGCCCCCTGCATCCATGAGGTATCCATGCATTGATTGAAACTGTAGAAAGTTGGAATATTGAGAAAAACGTGGAATTTAGAGCGAAACAAAAGGAATTGTGAATGTCGTTCAATGGGATGTGGTCTGTTCAAAGAAGGGGGATTCAAACTGTAGATTGAAACTGTAGAAAGTTGGAAAATTGAGAAAAACGCAAAATTTTGAGAATTGAGAGAATGACACATTGAGAGAAGACAGACCACATCCCATTTGGATGTGGTCTGTTCAATGAAGGGGGACATGTAAAGGACGCCAACTGGCCACCTACAACAAATATTGTATCTAAGCATTGATTGATCCTGAAAAAAGTCGGGAATTTGAGAAAAACGCGAAATTGAGTGCGAAACCAATTTAACCTTAAAAAAGTAAAGTGAATGTTTTTCAATGGGATATGGTCTGTTCAAAGAAGGGGGACAAGTAAAGGACGCCAAGGGGGACAAGTAAAGGAAGTAAAGGACGGAACCAATTTCAACCTGAGAAAAAAGGAAAAGAATTTGTATGTAAATGGGGTGTCGCGGAATAACACTGAAAGGAATAGCATCGAAACGGAACTGCTTCGACACCTGCAAACGACAGAATGACGCCGACAGGAACAACGTCGACACAGAAGTATCTCGACACTAGAAAATCGTGTCGAGGTAATTCCGTGTCGTTGCTGCTACTTTCGATGTTGTTCCGTGCCGGTTTAAATCCGAAAGCCATCTGTCGAAGCAGATCTGTTTCGGTCTATTTCTGTCGATGTATTTCCGTGTCGTTGCCATTCTGCGCCATAGCATTTCTTGTCGAACTACGTCTGTGTCGATTTTATTCTCATTAGGAATGGCAGTGGTTCATAAGCTACTGCAAAGATGTCGCATGAAGAAACTTTCAATAAGACGTGACATAACCAAGGTCTACCTCCAGGATTTATGAAAAAAGCCACCCTGGTGTAAGAATATACGAAAAAACGCCCACTGAAGAAATGCCCACGGAAATAATGCCCACAGAAAAAACGCCCACAAGAAAAAATGCCCATGGAAAAAACGTCCATACCTGCAAAGTACGAAAAAATGCCCACTT